TAGGGATACAGCTGGGCCCATTGCAACAATGAGATGTACAAGTTGTTATGTCAAAAACGAACTTTACAACTTTGGTTGGGGGGGGCGGTTAAGCGGGGAGGATTAGGGGAGGGGGGGAGGCTCTGAATGGATGGGAAGGGGAAACAAAGGAGGAGGCTACAATGCTTGATAAGAAATGTACTCATTATCTTGCCCACGTAATTGTAACCCCTCAGTATTTTCACAATAAAAAAATAAAAATTAAAAAAAGAAAAAATATTAAGATGATAACTTAGCTGTGATATACTGACTCCTCAAAAACCATAGACATTCTCCCAGGTTTAAAAAGCTGGTCAGAAGAATCTGTAACTATTTTAGAACTTAAATACCTAATTTAAAAACCTAAAGACAAATTTATTAGGCAAATTAATTCCTTAGTCATAATCATCTATAATAAGAGAATTCACTATTAATTTCATGAAGCCAATATCAGAGACTCAGCTCCAACATCATATATATGCTAAGAAAATCATGTCTCTGAAAAACACCACTCATAACTACAATATAGGTAAGACGTTTCAGAAATACCTTTTACAAGATTAAATCCCAGTGGCTGGTTATTATTTCCTACATCTGATACTATCATTATCAATCACTTGGTGTGGCTGCATTGGCCCCTTTGAACACACAGCTGCTGGACAATCCATGGTCACTCTGAAGGCAAGAGCAGAAACCCCAGGGACAGCAAAATATAAATAGTGCTTATTCCTGCGACTAGACAACGTTTGCCACGTTAGAGCCGCAAAGTAGATCATTTTAACATGGAAAACCACAGTCATGTGATGTAGTCATCACAGGGAGATCGCTACATCAATACCAGCTGCCGATAAAACCTGTAATATAAGACAGAATTTGGGCAAAAAATTATTGCACTGGTGCGGTGCACAGCCAATTAAACAGTGAAGCGCGGAGCCCCTTTCGATCTGGGGACCATTACAGTAAGATGAGCGCCATGGCGCCCAAAGCGGCAAATGTGACCCAGCAGCGCGAGCATCTGGAGCTGTAGAAGATCGCAGATTTGTGACCTCTGTGCCATCTCCGCACGGTGTATACGCTACCGGAAATGAGTGCTATGGGTGCCAAAAGGAAACATTTACCTTTCACTGATGCGAAGAACGCGTCCTTGCAGTAGATAAAACACCTTCACCTCTCTGCACCGAAAGTAAGTGTTCCGTGTTTCACAGCACTGACTTTCTGGTGTTACCTGAACAAAATGTCTGCTCCTCGAGACTTCCTGTGGAGAATAGTTGCTACTTCCGGGGCTTGAAAGCAAGTGCCCTGCGGTTAGACATTGGAAGCTTTGTTCAGCCCTGTCACAAAAGGTTTCCCTAACCTCTCAGAACCACGGAGGCTGACATTTTTTCCTATCCTTGAAATGAAGTGGAAACAAAGTCAGAAGAAGGAGAACTTGGGCAGGTGCCCAAGCCATTTCTCAGAAAAGGACCCAATCACCTTTCTAGAATGCTTGGCATCGATGGAAAAACCTAATACCTTAAGGTGAGGTTTTCTGTTTGTTTGTTTTTGCCGTCCGGGCTTGAACTCTGCGCAGGCGCTGTCCCTCAGCTCTTCAGCTCAAGGCATACTCTTCACTGCTTGAGCCACAGCGCCACTTCCAGTTTTCTGGTGGTTAATTGGAGATAACAGTCTCCTGGACTACTTCGCAGGCTGACTTTGAACTGGTGATCCTCAGATCTCAGCCTCCTCATTAGCTAGAATTACAGGCGTGAGCCACCAGCGCCCAGCAAGTTTGTTTTTAATGTCATGGTGATAACATCAGTTGTTTAAATGTAGTTATTTTTAAATTTTTATTTTGATCTTAAAGTAGTTGTACAAAGGAATTGCTATTCAAAAATTAATTTGTGAATGCAGTGCACATGTTGATCCAGTCATGCATTTCAACATTTTCACCCCTCCCAACCCCATCTTTTCCCTCCGTTTTAATTGGATTTTTATGACTTTATTTGCCCCCTTACTTTGATAATAATTTTTTAATAGAGAGGGGAGAAATCTCACTGTGTTTTCTTGGTAGACTGAGATGTCTCAAAATGTATACTCAGGCAATCATAAAACATTTATTACTAACATTAAAGACAAGTCAGTTGCCGGGCGGGCACTGGTGGCTCACGCCTGTAATCCTAGCTACTCAGGAGGCTGAGATCTGAGGATCACGGGTCAAAGCCAGCCTGGGAAGGAGAGACCGTGAGACTCCTACCTCCAATAAACCATCAGAAAACCGGAAGTGGCGCTGTGGCTCAAATGGTAGAGCGCTCGCCTTGAGCTGAAGGGCTTAGGGACAGTGCCCAGGCCCAGAGTTCAAGCCCCACGACTGACCAAAAAAAAAAAAGACAAGTCAGTTCTAAGGACTGTATGTAGTGAGGAATTGGTGCATGTTAACTATATTAAAATTATGAGGGTACTGAACCTCCAAAATAGTTCTGAGAAGATAGAAAATGGAAATTAATGATTACAGACAGTATTTGAACAGGTTATTTGAGAGAATATTCCAGAAGTGATGAAAGACAATAGTGTACAAGATTTAGGAAAAATAATTTTAAAACGTTTTATTAGCATATATTACTTGTATGTGGAGGTTTAATTGTGACATTTTCATATATATTAACAATGGTACCTCCTCCATCATTCCGTCTCATCTTTCCCCCTCCTTTCTTAAAACAATTTTGAGCTGGGCGCCAGTGGCTCACGCCTGTAATCCTAGCTACTTAGGAGGCTGAGATCTGAAAATCACGGTACAAAGGCAGTCCAAGCAGGAAAGTCCGTGAGATTCATATCTCCAATAAACCACCAGAAAACCGGAAGTGGCGCTGTGGCTCAAGTGGAAGAGCGCTAGCCTTGAGCTGAAGAACTCAGGGATAGTGCTCAGGCCCAGAGTTCAAGCCCCACAACCGACCAAAAAAAAAAAAACAATTTTGAAAGTTTCATTGTTATATTTCCATAAATTAATTTATATACCAGAAGTCCAATGAAGAGTCTCAATTACTATAGTTTATATGTTGGTAGCAAGGTTTTAACATATATGCTAGGGATCTAAACAGACATGGTAGTAGAAGCCTACCAATAAGACCACCATGACAGAGAAAGAAACACAAAAATTCAGATTAATGGATGAATGGATCAATAAAATGTGACATATATACACAATGGGATTTTACTCATCCATTTGAAAGAAGGGTATTATATCTTTTGCAAAGAAGTGGATAGACCTGGAAAAATTGCATTTATTAAGTGAAGTAACCAGATCCCAAGAGACAAAGGATGCATGTTTTCTCTCATATGTAGAAGTTAGATCTAATTTACAGATGTACAAGTAAATACATACTGGGTCATATGCAAGTATACACAAACTATGGTATATAGAGAGGAGAAGTGAAATGGTGGACGCTTTAGGAGAACTCACAGTCCAACAAAATGAATATCAGGAAGCTGGTAGTTGAAATGTTAATGGAGGAGGAGGAAAGAAATGGAATAGGTGAATGAAGAGAGGAAGTGTAGAGAATGCACCCATAATATTCAATGCCTATCCTATGAAGCTGGGAAAATTGAGGGGAAGGTATGGGTTGGGAGGGTTGGAGGAGAATGATGAAAGGGGTGATATCAATCAAGATGCATTGAATTTATAAACTGACATGTTGAATGGTAACCTCTTTGTTGAATGTACACTAAGCAAATCAATGATAGAAAAATAAAACAGATTCTGTTGGAGGGCAGCTGTTCTCCATAGGAGTGGGAAAGGGAGGGCAAATAGAGACAGTGAATGAAAATGAATATAATCAAATAGTCTATCTATGGGGAGGGGCAAGAGAGTGATGGAGTGCATTTGCTTAGGATGCAGTGCAAACATGTATGGAAATGTCACAATGAAAACCCTCTTGGTTCAACAGTGTATGACAATTAAAAAGGGAAAACTAGCCAGGCGCCAGCGGCTCACACCTGTAATCCTAACTACTCAGGAGGCTGAGATCTGAGTATCATGGTTCAAAACTAGCTCAGGCAGGAAAGGCTATGAGACTCTTATCTCCAAATAACCACCAGAAAACTGGAAGTGGTACTGTGGCTCAAGTGGGAGAGCTCTAGCCTCAGGGACAGCACTTAGGACCTGAGTTTAAGCCTCTGGACCAAAAAAACAAGAACAAGAACAAGAACAAAAGGGACAAACAGAGCAGAATAAAATACATATCTTGGGGCTGGGAAGGTAGCTCAGTGGTAGAGTGCTTGCCTTGCATGCATGAAGCTCTGGGTTCAATTCCTCAGCACCACATAAGCAGAAAAAGCCGGAAGTGGCGCTATGGCTCAAGGGGTAGAGTCCTAGCCTTGAGCTGAAGAGCTGAGGGACAGCACCCAGGCCCAGAGTTTAGGCCCCATGACCAGCAAAAAAAAAACGTATCTTCTGAGATAAGGATGGTCAAAAGATGGGTGTGGACATAATTCTAAGTATTCACATAGCCTCCCTTTATGTTTTTTCTTTTATGCTGAAATCCTCAAATTCCCAGAAGAAAGCTTTTCTAAAATGTTCTATTACTATTTTCATAAATCAAAAATATTCATTATATTCTGTTTTCATGGATGACTGATTTCAAATATCCATTTGAAGAATAAGTTCAAAAATAGCCAGTATATATCATAAAAATAAAAGGGATTTGTATGTCCCTCCCCCACAGTATAACCCCTGCTTTCACTGTATTTGATGTTGGTATAATTTGTGGAGGGGAAGGGGAAAAACAAATCGTTTAAATAAGGATACAGGTGGACCCGTTGCAACAATGAGAAGTACAAGTTGTCATGTCGAAAACGAAGTTTACAACTTTGGGGGGGGAGGATTGGGTAGGGGGGCCGGGGAGGTTTGGAAGGGATGGGAAGGGGAAACAAAGGAGGAGGCTACAATGCTTGATAAGAAATGTACTCATTATCTTGCCCATGTAATTGTAACCCCTCTGTACAGTATTTTCACAATAAAAAATAAATAAAAATTAAAAAATAAACATTAAAAAAAGAAATAAAAGGGAGCGGCGGGGGGATGGGATGGGAAGGAGAAACAAAGGAGGAGGCTAAAATGCTTGATGGGAAATATACTCATCTTGCCCTTGTAATTGTAACCCCTCTGTATAGTAGTTTCACAATTAAAAAAATAAAAATTAAAAAAAACAAAAGCCATGCTTCCTAGCCACAAATACACCATTAAATTGGAATTTTTGTCATTAAAAAAAAAGAAATAAAAGGGAATATACCTTTGAAATAGCAAAACCTATTATGAGGCAAATGTATGGGGGGTTTTTTGGAGGGGTTTGGTGGTGGTGGGGCCTGAACTCTGGGCCTGGGCGCTGTCCCTCAGCTCTTCAGCTCAAGGCTAGCTATCCTACTAAAACAATCACTAAACTTAAGGGAAAAAAATACCAACAACTTTGGTTTTTTTTGAAACTGTGGATTTTAATCAAAGACTTAAAACAGGTGTTTAATATCTTGTCAGGTTTTCATATGACCAATGGGAAGGTGACAGGTTACTCAATGGTCACACATGTCTTTGAATGTAATGTTTGCAAAAATAGTTTGAAAATGTCAATGAATGGATGATTGAGGTTCACAAAAACAGTAACAGAAAGAAACACAGTAAGATGGGAGAACCTGATTCATGATTTATCATAATAGAATATTTATAATAAGTAAATAGAATATTTACAATTCCTGGGCACTGGTGGCTCATGCCTGTAATCTTAGATACTCAGCAGGCTGAGATCTGAGGATCATGGTTTGAAGTCAGCCCAGGCAGTAAAGTCTCCAATTAACCACCAGGAAACAGTAAGTGGAGCTGTGGCTCAAAGTGGTTCAATACTTGCCTGGAGCTAAAAAAAAACATAGGGACAGTCCCATGACCACCACCACTACCACCACCACCGCCATACCTCCAATAACAACAAAAGCCCATGAACAGCATCCAGGCCCTACATTCAAGAGTTCAAGACCTAGGACTGGCACACACGCAACACACACACACACACTTAACTTGGCTAGTTTTCATTTAAAAACTATTGAGTGGCCCCACAGATGCCAGGGCATTGGAATAACTAATCAAAGACTTCAAAGCAACTAATTTAAAAATGTTTAAAGAGGGAGCAAAAGATCTCAAGCAGCTGGGCATGGTGGCATAAGCCTATGACCCTAGC